AAATTGACTTGTTTGTTTTTGTTGTATAACTGGCAGCGATAATGCGGACTTAATGAGGCATAAATTTCTTGGTAATAATTAACTAATCCTTGGCTTTCTCCAATCAGAATAATAGCGATTTGGACGGGTGCGATATCAAAAGGTAAAATTAAGCCTCAATTATCGGCATGAGCTTTGGCAATGGCTCCTATGGCTCGGGTTGAGGTGCCTCAGGAGGTCGAAAAAGGATATTGATTTTGATTGTCTTTATTCTGAAATTTGACATTCATTAGACGGCAGAAATTATCCCCAAAATAATGACTAGTAGCAAACTGTAAGCACTGGCCGTCTGGCAATAAACATTCTACGGTGTAGGTCTCTAAGGCTCCGGCAAACCTTTCGCCTTTGGTTTTTTTACCAACTATTACTCCGAGACAAAGAGTGCTTTCAGCGTAATCCTGATAATCATCCAGAATGTTTAGAGCGAGTTTTTGTGCCTCTTGTTCGCTGGCGTGAATAGTGTGGCCCTCTTGTCAAAGGAATTCGGTATTGCGAAAAAAAGGACTAGTATTCTTTTCGGCTCGAAAGACCGAGCATCACTGATTGTATAAAAAAGGCAATTGTCGATAGCTGTGGAGAACTTGACGATACCAATCATAAAATATTACTTCGCTAGTGGGACGCAACACTAAGGGAATTTCGGTTTTTTTTTCGCCAATCCTTTCTACATAGTAGCACTCGGGGCTAAATCCAGCAATATGTTTTTTTTCTTTTTCTAGTAAATCGAGCGGGATAAGGGTTGGTAGAAGGACATTTTGAACCCCATGGCGGGTAAATTTTTCGTCTAGAACATTTTGGATATTTTTTCACAGTGCATAGCCACGAGGGGGCAAAATAAAACTCCCTTTAGTTGCCCCATAAGAAAATAATCCTCCCTCAGTTAGTAATTTACTGTATTTATCTTCTTTTTCCATGTTTAATTAAATTTCCTCCTCTTTTTCCTTAGTGGGGGGAGTAGGTTTAGGAGTGATGCGTACAAATTTTGTTTCCTTAATTCGTTTTTGCATTTCCTTTTCTAATTCTGCTTCGTAATCCTGACTACTTGGGATAATTTCTTGGATATTTTTTCCGCTTTTGGCAGCCAAGCAAACCCCAACAAACTTTTCTAAATCCCGCAAAGTAAATCCGGTGTTAATCTGCCCTGCTGGTAATGTGAGGCCACCAAATTTTATTTCTTTCGAATATTTGGCCCTTATTTCCTTAGTAATTCGTCGAACTTCGGACCAAAAATCATTCGGTCATTTTATTATTGTCTTCTCATTATTTCTTTCTTTCGACCATTTATCTTTGTTATCAACAAACTTATATCCGCGTTCGCCTTTCATTTCTTTTTCCAAATAATCCATTAATTTATCGATTTCTTCATCAGTTGGATATCCTACCTCAATCCTCCGTCCTAGCCGTCCCGGTCGCACCAAAGCCGGGTCCAACGCTTCGGGATAATTAGTAATCCCAATTACAATAATATTTAATTTCTTATTGTTTATTTCGTCAAACATTTTCAAAAGTCCATCCACTTCATCGCGGCTGGATGAATTGCCAGGCGAAAGATCCTTAATGCCGACTGAGTCAAGTTCGTCAATTACCATTACCACTGGCTTAATTTTTTCTTTAATTCCTAATCTTTTTTGGCGAGCCTCTTCGTTTCGTAGTATATTCTTTGCTTGATTTAAAGCCACTTCTTGCTTAATAATGCTCGAACCTTTTCATAAAACAGTATCAAATTTCACGAAGGCATATTCCAAAGCCTCATTTTGGCAGAAGGTCTCAGCTAAATGGGTTTTTCCTGTCCCTGGCGGACCACTTAGTAAAACATGTTTATCGATTTCTGGGCCTTCCTTCGCAAAATATTCCGGAAGATATTTAAAAGAATTAATTCAGGTTTCTACCTCTTTACGGACACTTTCTTTGGCAATGCTGTCCTGAATTCAATTTTCGTTTTTTTGTGCTGGATTAGGTTTAATAAATTCGGAACTGTATTCATGTTTGGGTTTTTTATTATCCTCATCAAAATTTTCCTGATTTTGCTCACTATTTATTATTGACTGTCTTCTTAATTTTCTAATCTCTTTGTTAGTATTTGAATTGCTAATTAAGATAATTAAAATTGTAAAAAAAAAACTGCCAAAAACCAGATAGTAAATTTGATACTTTTCCCAATGGGTTTTTTTTGTGAGGGTAATAATAATTACTGTTTTCTTTGTTATCTTGGTGGGTGTTAGTTGAGTTCATTATTTTAATTTTTCAAATACTTGTTCTAAGTTATATTTTAATTTAGGTTTACTAGTTCAAATAAATCCCTCATTTTTTTCGTATTTTGGGATAATATGAATATGCAAATGAAAAATACTTTGGGACGCAATTTCATTGATGTTACTAATAATATTAAATCCTTGGGGTGGTGTTGGAAGATTATTTTTTAATTTATTAATAATTTTTTTTACTAAAGGTAATAAATATTCTCAACTTTTTTCGTCCACTTCAGTGATATTGGTAAAATGTTGCTTGGTAATGATTAATATATGTCCGTCGCTTGCGGGAAAAAGGTCTAAAATTGCTATTGCTCCTTCATTTTCCTCAACGATATAAGCCTTAGTTCTTTTTGTGACAATTTCGCAAAATAGACATGCCATATAATTTATATTTTTCGCGAATTACTTCTTTTTATTCTTGCTATTTTAACTGTTTCCGTAAATCACCACCAAAAAAATGTACGTTCCCCTAATTTCTTTGACTTAGTTAGCAACGATTTTTGTCGCTGGTTTGTTCTTAATAATCGTTATTTATGCTTATAATTTTTTCTTTATTTTTACCAAGGATTTTGAACCTTGTTTATTAAAGATTGGAAGTGTTGCGGCTGGTGAATAGCCATTTCTGATAATTGCTTACGATTTAGTTTAATCTGAGCGAGAGTTAACAAACGAATAAATTGGGAATAATTTAATCTGTGGGAATGACAGGCGGCATTTAAGCGAGTTATTCATAAGCGTCGAAAATCTCTTTTTCGTTGTTTGCGTCCAGCAAAAGCGTCAACCTGGGCGTTCATTAGTTGCTCCTTGGCAGTTTTAAATAATTTGCGTTTGGAACCAAAATAGCCCTTGGCTTGTTTTAAAATTTTTTTTCGTCGTCGTCGCGTGGCTGGTGTATTAGTTGCTCGAGTCATATAATTCTATTTTATTTACTTAATAATTTCTTCTTTATGCGCTACTGTTTTTTGGCAAAATTTGCAATATTTTTTTAAATTTAGTTTTTCTCCTTGAGGTTTTTTGGCCTTGGAAGTTCGGTAATTTTGGTGTCTTTTCCTACAACCGCCACAAGTTAAAAATAAATTGATTCGCATAAGTGATTATTATTTTTTCTTCTTCGGAGTTTTTGCTAGCTTCTTTTTTGCTTGTCGTTCTTTTGCCATGTTGATAAACCTATTTACTTGTTCCTCTGAAGGCTTTCGCCCCAAGGCACTCAACATATTTCTTACTTGTTCTTTGTCGGGTTTTTCCATTTGCTTTTGCCATTCCTCTACTTGCTTCTTGAAAAAATAACGGGCAACAAGAAGGCCGATAATTCCTCCCAGCACGAGTGCTACTGGCACAACAACAAGATAAACTGTTAAATCCTTCATATTTATTAATATATTTTAGAACTTTCGCGTAATAACCCGCATTTTGGCACTCCGAGCTCGGTGGTTTTCCTGAACTTCTTTTTGAGTGGGAGTTAAAGGCTTTTTAGTAATAATTTGAAAGTTATGAGAGGAATATTTTTTGAATATTTGTTTAACAATTCTATCTTCTAAGGAATGATAACTAATAACCACAATTCTTCCGTCTATCGCTAGATATTTAAGGGCGGTTTCTAAGGCTTGGGTTAGGTTCTCTAATTCATTATTAATAAATATTCGTAAGGCTTGGAATACTTTGCGAGCTGGGTGTTTATTGGTTTTGTGGGAAAAACAGGAGGCAATTATACCTACCAATTGTTCCGAGTTAGTAATCTTTTCCTTTTGCCGTCAGTAACAGATTTTTCGGGCAATTGCTCGGGCTTTTCTTTCTTCTCCATAATGATAAAAAATGTCGGCTAATTTTTCATCCGGGTAATTATTAATAATATCTTTGGCTGTTATTTTGCTTTCTGTGGCTATTCGCATATCAAGTGGCGAATTTAGTCGATAACTGAACCCTCTTCCTTCTTTGGCTAGTTGGTCCGAAGAAAGACCTAAATCAAACAAAATTCCGTCTATCTCTGGGATATCCCTTTCATTTAAATGTTTCTCCAGATTAGCAAAATTGTCGTTAATGAGACAAAACTGCGGAGAAAGGAAAAATTTATCTTTTTGAACTAAAATACTGAATTCTTTGTCTCATTCGAAAGCAATTAATTTGCCTTTTTCTAATTTTTTGAGAATGGCCCGTGAATGGCCTCCTTTCCCAAAAGTACAATCGACATAAATTCCTCCCTTTTTTAAATTGAGATAGTTGAGAACCTCACTTAACATTACTGGGATATGTCCGCTATCTAGGGTCATTTTTTTTCTATTTTAATTTTATTTTCTCAATTCAAAAAAATTTTATCGCGTAATTTTTTAACAATCTTCTAAAAAAATCTACTTACTTTTCCCATTGGGAGATTACTCCCGACAAAATAATACCACAACTGACGGAAACATTTAAGGAACTGATGTTGTTACTCATTGAGATATAGAGAGAATAATCGCTCTTTTTAATTAAATTTTTTTTAATCCCTTCATGTTCGTTGCCAAAAATCAGACAAGTTGGAAAGTCAAAATTGAATTTATTATACTCTTTGGCTCCGGGTTCACAGACCGTGGAAATAATTTTGTAATCTCTTTTTTTTAATTCATTAACTGCCTCGGACAAACTGGCAACTTGACAGACTGGAACATGGGCTACTCCTCCCACCGAAACTTTAATTACCGTGCTATTGACTGGTACCTGGTTTTTTTTGGCAATAATTATTCCATCAATATTAAGAGCCGCGGCAGTTCGCAAAATTGCTCCAAAATTATGAGGATCTTCAATCCCGTCCAACATGATAATTAAGGGAAATCTCCGTCGTGGTTGGCATGATAACAAAGAGGATAGTTTAACATAATCATAATTTCGAATAAAAGCGACTATTCCTTGACTTTTTTTATCAGGACTATAACGGGAAAATTGCTCTTTATTTAACAACTGATAAGGGATTTGTTTTTTTTCTAGGAGTTGTAATAACTCTTTATCTCTTTGCTGCTCCTCTCGCAAAATTATTCTTTTAAAAGAAAAATAAGGAGAATGAAGTAAATTGCGAACAGTATGATTACCAAAAGCGAGAAAGGTCATAATATGTTTTATTTCTTAATGTACTCTCAACAAAGAAATTTCCTGCTTCTTAGGAAACTCATTTGTCTTACCTTTCTTTTCTCCGACTAGCAATTAAAATTAAACAAAGTAAACCAATAACCACTGCTCCAATCCCTAAGCCAATCGCTCAATTTAGTTTGTTACCATTACTTTTGTTAGAGGATTCAGAGTTTTTTTTGTTGTCGTCCAATTCATTTTTTTCCTTTTGCTTATCCACTAAACCTTTTTTGGTATTATCCAATATTTTCCTGTAAGCTTCTTTTTGGGAGGAGTTATCAGTATTTTTAATTTTGTTCTCTAACTCGCTAATTTGACTTTGGAGCCGTTTAATTTCGGCTTCTAGATTACTTTTATACTCTGGGGAAGGTTGGGAAACTGGAGAATTAGAAGTAGGGGAAGTAGGATTATTATTTTTTTCAGCCTGTTCTTTTTTGCTGATTAATTTTTCTGTCCTTCCCACCCAATCTTCAACAACAAAATCAAACTCACGAGGAATATCACTCGAATCTTTATCATTCATAAGGTTCGCCATTTCTTCAAAAAATGAGCAGGTTTTACTCATAACTTCGTAATCCTCGTTATCAGCATAAGCAAGTATTTTTTTTCTTTCTTCCTTATCTTTTAGTAATTTACCTGCCTTATTTCTCCTTTCTTTCAGCAAAGCCAAGTCGGGCGGAGAAGCAGGATTATAATAGCCATTAGCAATACAATGTTCTTTTATTCGGTTATAAACTTTTTCTTCTCACTCCTTAAAAGTTAGACCGCTTAGCGCACTTAACGGGGCATTACAATCTAAGAGAACGAGTTCTAAATGTATCATACCTAACAAGGTTGCCTGGATAACTCCTTCTTCGACAAAAAATGGGGCTATGGCACCAATTTTAATAAATTCTTTCTCAGCGGCTTCATCTTGAAATTGAAGCCTTTTGCTTCTTAATAATTCCGTGTATATTTGTTTTAATTCTTGACTTCATTTTTTAAATTCGTTTTGAGTTATTTTTCCGTTCATATCGTATATATATATATATATAGTTTTAATATAATTTTATCCTTATTAAATAAGTTTTATAATTTTTCTTCTTTCAATATTTCTTCTAAGACGTCCGCGGGAACTTCCTGATAATGGGATAAATACATGGAATAAGTGCCTCGACCTTTGGTTAATTGCCGTAAAGTAGTTGAATAATTAAGAATTTCTTTGAGGGGAGTTTTGCCGGTGATATAACTTTCTCCTTCTTTTTCTTCGGTATTTTCAATTATTGTTCGACGTGAGCCAAGATTAGCCAAAACATCCCCCATATAATCCTTAGGAATTATTACTTCTACTTGCATAATTGGTTCTAATAAAACTACTCCCATTTCTTGAATTCTTTTTTCTTTTTCGGCTACTCCATCACCTCGGAAGGCCAAAACTGCCGCATTTTTGAAATCGCCTGGTTTAGTATCTACCATATGCCTTTTTCCTTCTAATAAAGTAACTTTTATATCAAGCAAAGGATAATTCAAGAGTAAACCGGATGACATGGCCTCTTCTACTCCTTCTTTTACTTCTTCAGCGTCTTTGTTAGACATCTCTTGGCCCTTTTTGGCATCCACAAATTCAAAACCCTTACCTTTATTTGGTTCAAAAGTGAGTTTAACGCGAGCAAAGTGTCCGCTTCCTCCGGTTTGTTTTTTGTATTCTCCTCAAACATTTTCTAATTTTTTAGTGATCGTTTCCCGGTAAGATACTTTTTGTGGTTTACTTTCTATTTCTAGTTTGAATTCTCGGCGTAGTCTTTCCACGGAAACTTCTAAGTGTAATTCTCCCATTCCTGCGATAATCATTTGTCCGGTTTCCCGGTCTATTCAATATTTAAAACTAGGGTCTTGGATTTTTAATTTTTCCAGCGCGTCCCTCAATTTGTCTTTATCCTCATTAGTTTTTGGCTCAATGGCTTGGGAAATTACTGGCTCGGCAAAATCAATGGTTTCGAGGAGCAAAGGATTATTTTTTTCCCCAAATGTGTCTCCAGTAATAGTGCGTTCTAAACCAATAGCAGCAGCAATGTCGCCGGCTCCTACTTTTTTAACTTCTTCCTTATTATTAGCGTGCATTCTTACCAAGCGGCTAATTCTTTCTTCTTTCCCTTGGCTGACATTATAGACGTAGGAATTAGCGGTCATTTCTCCGGCGTAAACTCGAAAAAAGGTCAATTTATTATTGTAGTTATCAACCATGATTTTGAAGGCCAGCGCCAAACAAGACAAAGGACTATGACAATTAACTATTTTCTGATTATTTTTGTCGTGGGGGGAAAAAGCAGGTATTTCAGTTATATCCAAAGGAGAAGGCAAATAATCTACCACCCCGTTCAAAACTAATTTTACTCCCACGTACTTGTAAGCCGAGCCGCAGAAGACTGGAAAATATTTGCCGGTGAGAGTGGCCTTACGAAGCAGTTTTTTAACTTCTTCAATCGATAATTCCTGACCTTCTAAATATTTCATTGCCAACTCCTCATCCTGTTCAATTATTTTTTCTAGTAATTCTTGGCGATATTTTTTGGCCTCTTCTAACAATTTTGGTGGAATGTCTTTTATTTGATATTTTTCCTCCTTATCGCCCATTTGGCAGTAATAAGCCTTTTGTTCTATTACATCTACTACCCCCTCTAATTCCCGACCAGCTCCAATTGGAAACTGAACTGGCAACGGGGTAGCATGAAGTTTTTCCCGAATGCTTTTTAAATTTTCCGTAAATTTTTCCACATTGTCAACTCCGTCCATTTTATTGATAAAGATTAATCGGGGAATTTTATATTTTTTTGCTTGTCGTCAAACGGTCTCAGTTTGGGCTTCAACACCTTTTTTTCCGTCTAAAACCACTATTCCACCATCTAAAACTCGCAATGACCTTTCCACTTCGGCCGTGAAATCGACGTGTCCAGGAGTATCAATGATATTTATCTGGTGCTCTTGTCAGTAAACAGTAGTGGCGGCTGACTGAATAGTAATCCCTCGCTCTTGTTCTTGGTCCATAAAATCCATTTGGGCTTTTCCCTCATGAACTTCCCCAATTTTATGGATTTTTCCGCTATGGAAAAGTATACGTTCAGTAGTAGTAGTTTTACCAGCATCAATGTGGGCCATGATGCCAATATTACGAATGTGGGCTAATTTTTTCTCGTCTTCGGGCATATATTATTAATTTTTTGCTGTATTATTTTTCTAACACATCATCCTAAGCGAGTTTAAGGTTGGCCGAAAAGTAATTTGTTTTCTTTCATCAATGATGAATATAATTATAAAACTATAAGTATATGACAAAATTAGAAGAATTTAAAGAGTGATTAAGAATGGGAAGAATTTTTTCCCGCCATGCGGAATTATTAAACTGCGACCGAGAAGATAAAGAATTTGAAAAAAGTACTTTTAAACTTTCTATCCAAGGAAAGAGTAGCACAAAGCGCTTGTCGTACTTTCGGAATCGTCGGGTAAGAGTGAGGAACCGAGAATTAGTTCATGAAATTCAAATACAAGAAGAGGCTAGAAGAAATCACAGAGGGACAAAATTTAAAAAATGATGATTATTTGGTTTGGCGATAGCAGTCGTGGTTGGGGTTATTGCGGTAGGTTTAAAAGTGAATTCCACCCATCCAAGAGAGAAAAATATAGACTTTAAAAAAGGCTGCGACTCCATTTTTGGTGAAGATAGTTATAGTTCAAGGTTGTGTGAAAGATTACTAACATTATTAAAAAAAGAGGAACAACTAATAATACAGATTAAAGATCAAAAAAACAAATTAGAAAAATACAAAAGGAATTTAATAGGAAAGACATTAGAGAAATGAGAAGTGGAAGAGTTATCCCGTCAGCAAGATGAATTATCAAAATTAGAAAAAAAATTAGAAATTTTAGAAAGGAGGCGAGAAAAATGGAAAGAAGCGGAGGATAAAAAACTCAAGAACTTATCCGAGTCTCTGAGAGAATTATAAGACATTTATAAAATATATACATGACACAAAAAATACAAGATTTTAAAAATTGGTTAGATGAAAACCTTTCTCAATTTTTTGAAAAGTTTTGTAGCTTTGTTTGTGACAATAAAAGAGAATTAGAAAAGTGTGAAAATTTTGGAAAAGGACTGATAAATAGTAAGGTAGAAAGAAAATCGTTGGAAGAACAAATTAGAGATAAATAGAATGAACCAGAACAATTATAAAAATAAATTGTAATAAGTAAATATGACACAATTAAAAAAATTTCAAGCCTGATTAGAGGCAGACGAAAGTAGGAAAGAGGGAGTAAGTAATGAAGAATGAGAAGCATTTTTTTCCCAGCATGAGGAATTATTAAACTGCGATTGAGAAGATGAAGAAAATAAAGTGAGTATTCTCGGAATTTCTATCCAAGGAAGAAATGAACAAAAAATGTTTGATATATTTTACAGGTGGTTGACAAGGGCAAAAGAAAGTAGAGAAGTAGTTCATGAAGAAGTTCAAGGAAGAGAAGAGGCCAACAGAATCCACAAAAGAACAAAATTTAAAAAATGATTTTGGTTATCAAGTCTAGCATTAGCCGTGGTAGTTGGTGTTGTTGGGATAGGTTTAAAAGTATTCACTTCATATACCGAAAAGAATGAAATCGTAGACCTTACAAAAATTTGCCCCTCTGTTTTCCACAGAGCAAATTGATTAGGAAAATGCGAAAAAATAGTAGAAGTTATGGAAGAAATGCGAGAAGCAGAAGCATTAGAAGAGTTATTAGAAAAGCAAATTAAAGAAAGAAGAATAAAACTAGAGGAGTTGAAAAGCAGTTTTATAGGAAAGTCATTAGGAAAAATAGGAGAATGAGAA